AAGACAATGGAGGCAAAGGGATGGGCGTGAGCGGATGAAGTAGGTATTTAGCACCCTACAGGCTAGGGCGCTCTCCTAATTATGAACACAGATCTACTGATACCGATTAATTACAGTGTAACGTTTTTCCTTCCTTTGCCACCTTCTCGCCCTCTATCCGTGATCGTATGCTAAGTTCGGGCGTGGCCGAAGTTCTCCTCGGGAAGTTACGTCTCCCACCCAGGTTCTACCAGGACTCGCGGACGAAACGAACAGCAACAAGAGACGTACAGAACAACGCTTTTATTAATAAACTACTTACTACACAGGAGAGTGGTCGCCAGTTACAGCAGCGATCCACTCTCGCCTACCAGGACTAAGCTGGGTGCTGGCGCACAACACGTCGCTACTCTCACACTACATTCGCATTTCAGCGCGTTGGAGATTCACTCCGCTCTCACTGCGGGCGCGACGATGCTCTCCTTGTTTACACCACAATAATTATCATCGTCCTAGCCATCCGGCCTATATAGCACCACAAAACAAACACCGTGCTGATGACACGTCCGCCCGCTTCCACTGTTGGCTGTCCAGAGAGACCGGGCGGATAACACGTCCGGCCGCTTCTACTGTTGGCCGTCAAGAGAGCCCGGGCGAATAACACGTCCGCCCGCTTCTACTGTTGGCCGTCAAGAGAGCGAGCACGCTCGCCTCACATCACAATGTCATGCGCCCACACCCCTCTCGCTCGCGCCCCCTATAACATTAATTCCTGCATGATCACAATGAACGTGTAACTGTTTTGTAGTATCGTCAACGTTGGAGATGACGGGCAACACACGGACAGGATCGACTTCGCCACAATAGCATACAATAAAACATTTGTGTGTGTGTGTGTGTGTGTGTGTGTGTGTGTGTGTGTGTGTGCTTGCGTGCGTGCGTGCGTGTGTCTGTATTTCACTGTGCATTTGCTAAACAAATGGTTAATGTGTTACGTGTAAGCATGATTCTACATATTTGTATTGACATCTCAACCATAAAAAAACAAACATGTGCAACAACTAAACTCTCCATATAACACCTTACACATAACACAACTGTACTGGTAACAAATGCATCACAGTCAATACGCGCGGGTTTCAGCTAGTACATATTAAAAGTAGAAACAATTAAGAACCTATTTAAGAACCTTTTGAGCCTAATTTTTCAGTAAGCACCATTTATATAAGAACATGTTGAGGCTAACTTGAAAAAATCTATGTTCTTATACGCGGGTTTCTACTGTATGATATGTTCGCAGGGATCAAATAACCATCTCATTACCTATGCAGGCCTAATTAACAGCCCTAGCTAACAGCCGCGGTTTATTATATAAAGAAATAACGCATTATTTATTAGTAGCTAGGTAACTCAGCGTTTGTTATGCGTGCATTGAAAAGCGTCTACTAAACTACACACGACCGACTACAGTCTAAACAGTTTAGTTACACACACTCGCGCGCACGCACGCACGCACGCACGCACGCAAGTACACACACACGCACGCACACACGCACGCACGCACACATATGTTTTTTGTGAGTGCATTATATTAGAATCGTGGTCACTAGGACCTATGGCTTCAGTAAATAGCATAGTTTCCCATCTGTATTTCAACTTTTTAGATTCTTGAAGAAACTATTTTCTTGCTTAGTGCAATATGGTACATATGGCAATGAAGAGGAACGTCCTTGTAAAAGCCCGATTGTGTATGATAAAATTGAAATAAATTGAATCAACGTACCTAAATAAACAAAAACTCATAAAGTATTAGTTTATGATGTATGTGAGGTTGAATGGTCTGATCAAAACTGAAGCCACCTGTTAGCTATAGGGTCTTCTTGGTATATAAGCACATGTTCCATTAGCTAATGTTTGCAACTTCAATGTGATGTAATACTGTGATGAACTTTAATTGAAACTAGGCCATGTGAGCATGGGTCTTATTACAGACTACACACGTATCAAGTCAAGCAATCCGATTGTTAAATATACCGTATTTACAAGAAATTTACACACGAAAAACAGCTGAAGTATAATTTTCTTTACATTTGATTTATATATAATTTTATTTCAAATTAAATTATCAGTCACACACATATGCATCTGAAACAGCTAGCATTCTATACTAGAAACAAAATTCATACCAGTTCCTGAAAATGAAAATAAATAAAAGTATAGGTATTTGCTTCAGAAGCAAAAGCTACTAGACAGCAGCTACATTCCACCATTAATACTTAATGTGACAACACTTACAAAACTGCCCAACACATGAAGCAGTATGCTAGGTTTGTCGCACTATAATGAGACCACATCTTTAAAATTCTTAGAAATAACTCATATTAGCTATCCTTTAACTAAAAGCAATGCTGAAACTTTAAGACGTGTTACCCATTCAAAACTTTAGTTGAGATGTCACAAAAAGTATACAGCAATGTCTTAGCAATTATCATTTCGAGATAAAAGTTTTAATAAAAGCAATAAAGATAAATAAAGCTATCCAAATCGGCAGATGTGCCAGGAAGACTCACCATGACAGTAATATTTTACTACTAAAAACAACCGTGTAATTTGTTTTTTAAGACTGACACAACAAAACACAAGGTTCAAATTGAATTCATTAAATATATATATACAATATTTTCACATATGGGCGAGAAATGCACCATTTGAAGTAGTCACTGTCCCCAGCCACTACTGCCTTTGCAGCAATGATTATAATATAATCTTGAATATGTTTACACATGCACAACTTCCAGCCTAATTTGTTTTTAGCTGCAACACAACCCGTTTTTTATTTCTAGTTTGATTCCTAAATGCCTTTTCAGCATTAAAACCCTGGGGAGTGAAGGGGCTACATTGGTAGAGTTATACTTTTATAGTTGATCTATATAGGTAAACATTGTGACAGCTAGGTTTGTTATGCCAACGTGATTTAAACCTCAATCATAGCCTTATAGAGATTATTCTAGCCAAGTCTATGATACTGAGCATTGTACTAAAAGGCCCAATCAAGGGTTTCTCTCTGATCCTATTACTATTATACTTAGTATTACTATTACTATATATATAGACTAGTATATAGTATTACTATTAGTAGTACGTATTATTAGTTTAAACCAGAGTTGAGAAGGATATCGAGCTCCAGACGGGAGAATTCCAGAAAAAGCAGAGAATGACGGAAGCAAACCCCGTCACAAGGAGGCACAGTTATAAAGGCAAGAAATACCATTTGTGGCTGCCAACCTCTCAAAATTACTTGACAAGAACGAAGATTTACAACATCGTATTTATTCATATTAACGGAACGAATATGTAGTCGTGTATGCATGCATGCGGATGTTCTATCGAATATACGAATACTTTCTGAATATGCCTGAATATGCGTAAAATCTGAATATATACAAATTGTACCGCAGATCAGAGAACTGTTAAACTTTTATCATGATTAAATTACGTTACATATAGGATATATTGCAAAATTATGAAAAGCAGCCGAATATGATACAGAATAATAACCCGTAACAGGTATAAGGCCAATATAATAAAGCAGGTATGATGTTCCTAGTGTAACACGGCGGTATAGAGCAATGTCCTGTTTACCATTGAGTCCCCGCACCACCAGTCCATCTATTCTCTGGGAGTCGATCAGCTACGCCTCTGCTGACATTGTCGAAAGACGGAGCTTGGTGTCTACTCCACTATAACTTCAAGCATTCTTCTCGTATCATCAATAATAAAGGTGACGTCTGACTGTGCGTGTGTCCAACATCGCATAGCAAGTTCTTTTCACGTCTGGTCGCTCCCGATGAAAAATAGTCACAGGGACTATCATATAGAACTCATACTGGTGTGGCTCCTATATATAATATATCACAGGCCCTTGGAGGCTCAAGTTTCGAAAAAGTATAAGTCTATATATTAAGAGCGAAGCGTCCGCTTCGCTCTTAATATAGACTTATACTTTTTCGAAACTTGAGCCTCCAAGGGCCTGTGAATATATGTAACGTAATTTATCATAAAGTTCTCTGATCTGCGGTACAATTTGTATATTTTCAGATTTTACGTATATTCAGGCATATTCAGAAAGTACCGGTATTCGCTTATTCGATAGAACATCCGCATATACATTACGACGATTGATATTCGATATCGATATACATTGATATGATATTCGTTCCGTTGATATGAATCAGAATAAATACGTAACGATGTTGTGATTAAATCTCCGTTCTTGTCAAGTAATTTTGAGAGGTTGGCAGCCACACCATTATTAGTAAAACACGCTACTAAGACTTGATTCACGCTACTAGAACTTGAACACGCTACTAGATATTTGATTCATACCTTTGCTAATATCATTGAGGCTTGGACAGTGCAGTTTTAGTATTTCCACACTCATGTTTCGCAGTTGTTTCAGCATCTGTTCTCCGCGCTCATGTTCTCAGCAGTTCATTGAACTCGCTGTGTATTTGCGTGCAATGTAAGCTCTAATGCTCTTACTCACATACCTCCCTACCCTAGTTCAAGGTTTTCCGTGTCCGCCCCTTGCACCCTGAGGCTATAGCGTTACTATCAGCTGTGAGCACCATTACGTGACCGTCATTTATCACAATATTCAAAAGATAGTGGAGAGACGTACTCGACTTCGCGACGGAGAGGTCGTGAACCTAATTCTGACCTCGTCTGACCTCTCTAGTCCGCGAATAGACGGGAGTCATGTAACATGTTCTCAATTAAATTGCAAGTTAGTAAATTGGTTTGTTGTTTTGAAAATAAATTGTACGTTTAGAAAATGGATATTTACAATGATGTGAAGGAATTTGTATATCCGGCAATTATTTTGGAAAGTTGTGAATTAATTTGCAAGTTAATAAATTGATTTTTTATTCTGTCAATTGATTTTAAATGTTGAATTTAAATTTTTCGAACAATATAAAGTAATTTGTATTTTTATTAATTAATTTGAAATGTTTAAAATGGATTTAAAATTGTGTATTTGAAATGTTTGAAAATGATTTTTGAAGGGGATGGCTTTCCATACCTGAGTGATGTGCCTGCTAATAATATTTCGTTCAGGCCGAGTGAGTTTGCGCAATACTGGGCCAATTAAAACTGTAAAGTTTATTGAATATTCCCAGCTTAAGTTCCGTTTTCGGCCAGGTTGTTCCGGCCGGAACTTTTTTCAAGTTCCGGCTGGTTCTGGTTCCGGCCGGAACTTAAAAAGTTGGATCCGGTGCACCCCTAATCACAACTGAACTACATTCATGATTTGTACGTGTCCATAAATAAGGCTCATAGGGTCTATATGTCCCCCAGGGTACTGCCGGAACGTACCCTGGTAACTATCTGATATGGTTAGGGTTAGGGTTAGGGAGTAGGCGTAGGCGACTCTCTAGACTCGTTAGTGAAGTAGGCGAGGTACGGTCCGGCATATTAGATAGTACCAGGGTACGTTCCGGTATACCGGGCCGTACCCTGGGGGACATAGACCCTCTCAGCATAAATAAGCGTACAACACAGCAGTAACCAAATGAAGGCATGCCGGCCAATCGAAGGCAGAACGGAATGACTTTCGGCAAGATCGTTGCGATCTGCGTGTCCCTCGTTTAGCGTCTGCATTGCAGCGAGTCTGTGCAGTTCTTCTGCCGGCTGCATGACTAATTCTCTTGTTATTGGGCGACCTCGTCACTAATTATCTCGTTGTTTTAAATAAAAATAAAGTTTATCTTGGTTAGATCTATAATAAGTTATGATTACTTACAACGACGAAATTTTCGTCCATCTCTCCGATAGACTTCCTTGGGTCTGATGTTTTTGGTGCAAACCTGGAAACATCAGACCTGAGGAAGTCTATCAGAGAGATGGACGAAAATTTCGTCGTTGTAAGTAATTAGAACTTATTATGGCTCTAACTGAGATAAACATTATTGTTATGTGAACTATAGAGATCCGATGAAATTATTCAATCATCTCTTGATGTTGCACGGCAGCGTCGGACGTGCGGCGACCACGTCACTAATTCTCTCATTGTTTCTATGCTGCAGCGTCGGACGTGCCGCGACCACGTCAAAAAGGTTATCAGACACTTACTCTTCGCACGTCAGTGGAAAGCACATTTCATGGTCCTTCCAATAAAGTGATAAAAATGGTAGGTCAGCGCTGAAACAAAAAAGTTTTTCACTCTGTCCATTAGGCCATGTCCTCAGAAAATGTCTGATATCTGACCTTTCCCCCACTGCCCTTTGACCTGTGACCTCCAATTTCACTGGTGATGGGTTTCCTCCCCATCACACTATATACACCGAATATTAAGAGCATAGGTCGAGCCGTTAAGATTTGTGCCGCAATTCCGTATTTCCTCCTATACCTTAAGTTAAGGGGGAAATATTCTACCTTTCTAGGATACAGGATACAAGGATACACATCTTGACCTTTGACCCTTGACCCCCAAATTTGTCATCCTGAGTCCTTTTCACGATCCCCCCTCACCGACGTTCCGAATATCGTGACTGTACATCGAGCGGTTTAGATTTGTGCCCAACTGTTGACGCACGGACAGACGGACGGACGCACGCTCATGCGATTCTACAAGCTGCATCTGTCAGATGCAATTTTGGGTGTGGATCCATACCATAGAAATATTTTTGGGTATAGAATTTTACCCTTTTACCCTCCTGGCAGAAACCCTGAGCAACTTTTCTTAAACACTTTAATAATTAGAATGTGTTCTAGATAGTTTATTAATGAGAAATCTCAACTACTTAACTAATATAAAGCTTCTATAAATATATTTCTAACCCATAACATAGCCTTATACTGTATAATTGCAACTGAAATAAATTCAGCATTCTACTGTACAACAACTGCCATGGAAATGGATTAATTAGAATAATTACTTCATGATATAGGTACTCTCAATAAATTCATACATATGAGATGCACTAACATTAAAATGTTGGTTTTAAATTTTTAAACAGTCACATCTTACACTGTTGTTGTTCATGGCTGAGTTTCTAGGTTGGAAACACAGGCTCAGTTGTGCGACATGCGATTGAGAAGATGGGCCATGAAGCCATACTTATCAGGAAAACTCTCCTGGCACTGGCTACACTGCCACGGCGACTCGGGCCCATGAAGCGTCTTGTGCATCAGGTAAAGGGCATTTTCTTTAAAGTCAATGTTGCACGCAGGACACGTGAACTGGTCCGAGCAGATGCCGGACTCCACAGTCTGCGTACCAAGAGTTCGATTGTAGCAGGGGAGCGACCTCACCGAGGCCACCTGGGGGCACGTCGGACTCTGCGCCATCCCGTGAGACGGCCGCTGACTACTCTCCACTATGGGTGTGCCGGTTATCGTGTTAGTACCGATGATGCGTTGCGAGAAGCCACCGCTGCTCGTCACCTGGGACACGGGGGAGGTCGCGTATCCGGTGCCAGCGTTGGAGACATTGTACGCCTGCTGCAAGTACGCCGTGTTGCTGGACGTTGCCGCGGTGATCGCCGGCGCACGCGACGTCGCCATGGTAGCCGTCGGCGAGTGCAGCGGCGACATCATCGGCATGCACGAGTCGTCGAGACTCTGCGTTGTCGGGTCGGAGTTGTAGTAGCGGCTGGCGTGCTTGCGCGCGCTGTCGGCGGCGGCTGCGGCGGCTGCGGCGTCGAGCAGCGAGGGTGACGCCGCGAGCGCGCTTCGGCCGCCCGTCGGCGAGCCCTGCTTATCGAACATCTTGAGGCGCGGCGCACGCATCGTCGTGTCCTGGCCCGGCGGCACGTCCTCGTCCGCCGTGCCGAGGAACGTGACAAACTGCGAGCCGTTGTGCGTGTCCTTGGTGGCGCCGAGGCCCGTGCGGATCGCGTGGCAGTGAGACATGTGCTTCGCCATCGGGATGTCCTCATCGAAGCTCGTCTGGCAGCCGATGCAGACGAGCGCGCGGCCGTACTTGCGCGTGTGGATGCGCACGTGCATCAGCACGTGCCGGTGCAGGTGGTGCTTCAGCTTGAACCACTTGTTGCAGAAGACGCAGCGGTGGCGCCGCTCGCCCGTGTGCACGAGCATGTGTGACTTGAGCGCCGAGTCGGTGCTGTAGCGGCCGAGGCAGATCTTGCAGACGCGCTTCTGGTCCGCGGGCGACAGCTGGTACGTCGCGACAGCGCTACTCGTCGGCGCCACCATGCTCGGCCAGTCGGCATCCACCGGGAACTGGATCTGCTGCGTCTGCTGCAGCGCCGACACGGCCTGGTCGTCCCCGAACGCCCAATCGCGGAACTGCGCGCCGAGGTCTGCCGCCTGCAGCCCGACGTCGTCCGACAGGTGGGCGGCGCGGTCGTCCTTGATCGGCACGATCGCGTTGTCCTTGTCCTCGCCGTTGGCGACGTCTTCCTGCTGCATCTGATCGTCTTCGCTGTCGTCGTCGACGTCATAGACGAGAGGCTCAGTCTTCATCTGCTGCTCCTCCATGTTGGCGACGACAGTTCAGCGAATAGCAGCGTGCTGCGCCGCCACAACCCTGCGAGCAACACATGGAAACGCTTTTAAGTGTAAATTTGCAGGACAAGTGGGAAACCAATCGTCAATGCATTATTGACCTTTTGGGTGATTTCATTACCCAAACTCAGCATGTCTGACCCTAGCTCTAGTACTATAGCCCGCGTACAGTTGCCGCAGGCCTGCGGCAACTGTACGTGGGCTATAGTACTAGAGCTAGTCTGACCCCCAATAGCGCCGCCTACTGTTTAACATACTAGTGTTACTAGAGTCAACCATACAATATAAAGTGCCTACCATACAAAGAGAATACTATGGCTCAGAAGAGCTCAGATCAAGGATGGTTGCATTATTGTATCTAAGGGCGGGCGTGCGGTGTACTTGTGTGTAAGGCGATGAGCATTTGACCGGCATTTACGGGTAATCCTTGGATGGATCAGATGCCATCAGTCATCAGCAGTTACTAAACTTACACTCATTGAGATAAATTATCTTTATATAAGGAACAGGAAGGGGGAGCAAAGGGGGGAACTATACTAATTCCCTAATTACTATGAGTGAATTTACAACCAGACTGCATGGTGCTTAGTTATGTGGCTATTAAACCTCAAATAACTAGTGACAATGAGGGAAGATCATGGCTTCCAAATCAAATTTATAAGGAATAGGATTTTAAAGATGTTAACCAGCGTAAGAAAACTTGAGCGACTGTTGTCTTGAAAAAGCAAACTCTCAGACAGAGAACGCTCAATAACAATATTGGCTAACGTTATACCGTCACTGCTATCAAATGCCGCGGCCCGCGAGCAGATGCATGAATAACAGAGCAAGCTATTGAAATTGAAATTTGGGTAAAAAAACGTTGGCACACAACTAAAAGCATTATGTAAACTGCACATAGCTTTCGATATATGCCAATGATAATATACTGCCGGACGGTATATATGTAAAGGTGGAGGCATCGATACACAAGGCACTTGGAACGTCTCAATAAAAAAAAAATGTAAACACGAAATGTATTTCCGTGTATAACCGATATTAAATGCCGGTCAAATGCTCATCTGCAACACCCCAAGTACACCGCACGCCCGCCCTGTGCACAAACAACATGAATAAGAGAGAGGAACTCTCTTATTCATGTTGTTTGTGCACAGGGCGGGCTAGATACAATAATGTAACCCAACAAGAGTAGGGAAACTGAATCACTCAGGGGCTCCTCTAAAGAAAAGAATAGGCTCGCGTTGTAACCCTACTCTTGTTGGGTTACATTATTGTATCTAAGGTCGGGCGTGCGGTGTACTTGTGTGTTGCAGATGAGCATTTGACCGGCATTTACGGGTAATTATCGGCAATAATAGGCGAAATAGAGTAGAGAAACATTAAATTGACTACGTCACGAATTTTCAATGGTGTACCGGTATATTTGAACAATTTTGTTGCCATTTTTGTACATTAAAAGTAAGTACTAACGGCACTAAATGTATCCTCAAATTCTTACACATGTGATAAGATTGCTTTTCAACTAGTTTAAAATCCAAAAAATGTGGGCGATTTGATATATTGATCACAACATTAAATGCTTGCTATGGGCTATGTATAAGTCATTTAAGTATTTGTTCACATCGATCGGAACAGCAGAATAGGAAGTATAACACAGCAATTTAACCATAAGGCATAACAAGTGAACCGAATCACTTTCATATTTTGAAAAAGTGGACTTGTTTTTTTAAACTTTTACTATTTACGGTGACGTAATCACTTTAAGACTTTGGTAGTAAATACATTTCGTGTTTATTTACCATTATTTTTTTTAATTGAGACGTTCGTCGTTCCAAGTGCCGGTGGCTGTGCATCGGTAGGCCTACAGTATGGCTCATAGTCATAGTCATAGGCCGATAGGGTCTATGTGAGTATGTCCCCCAAGGTACTGCCGGAACGTACCCTGTTCACTATTTGATATGGTTTATTTGGTTAGGGTTAGGATTAGGGTTAGGGTTAGGGAGTAGGCGTAGGCGACTCCCTGGACTCGTTAGTGGAGTAGGCGAGGTACGGTCCGGCATATTAGATAGTACCAGGGTACGTTCAGGCAGTACCCTGGCCTGGGGGACATAGAGTGATAGACCATCTCAGCCCCCTACAGTAAAAATGTCACTATCATGCCTATGTCAGTATGTGTACAGCCGACTAAACCTCTCGTGTTGCACTCAATAACGCACAGAAATGATCGCATTTAACGTGTAATTACGCACAACAAACAAAGGCAGAATTACTAAAGAGATTGTGAGAGATAACAAAATTTCGCTCAGAAACTTACGATATCAATAAAATCACTGATAAGAATGATAAGAAAATCGGCATCAGAGACTCAATCACGAAAAGCGAAAACAGCGCCACCTTCTTTGTCTGGACGTTCGGGGTCATGGGTTGTACGGAACTACTATTTCTTGCGACACACCTTTACCGTGACGTTTCAATATTGGTGCCATTTACCACGAAAAGTAAAGTAAGTTACTAAGGAAACAAATTCAAATTGGTCTGTTTTGCCGTAAAATTATTTTCATACAAGTCTGAATGGGGATAACCATGTGATGGTGATTGGTGCACTGGCAGCAAGATCAAGCCCGCACGTACAGCACACACGCGCGCCATTGACTATATATATACAACAATATAGTTGTATATATATAGTCAATGGCGCGCGTGTGTGCTGTACGTGCGGGCTTGATCTTGCTGCCAGTGGATTGGTGATGACCAGACTGCCTCAATGTCTGTATGCTATAAATTTCAATTACAACTTACAAGACAGTGTTTACGTCCTGAATACGTCATTCATCATTGCCATTGGCCAGCGCCGAGGTTCAAAGTGAAAATTGAATGTTTGCGTTATACTAATTTAGTAATTATTAGTATCAGCAGGCCCGTAGCCATCAGCTTTATATTGGGGGGGGGGGTGCGTTTT